AACAGAATTGCATGACTCGAAAAAGACAAGCATTGAAAATATCAGTAAAAAGGGGTTAAGAGCATGAAGTTAACAATTGCAAAAACAAAAAGTCCTTTTTTCTTTGTTGTTTTCTAGTCACATCATATTTGCAAATGAAATATTTCTAACAGCTGATGACTAGGGAACACGCACACACACACACACCTAACAGTGTGGTCTGTTTCTATAACAGCAGAACTTCAATTGTGCGTGACATCACAATGATACCACAGGCAATTAAGTAGAGGAATATGTGGGAGGATGAGGGAAGAATTCTTAGAAACAAACACTTATTGAAATTACATGAGATAAAGGTCAAGAAAACATTATTAAACATAAAAACGCATAAAGACAGTTAAATAATAATAATAATAATAATAAGTACTTACAAACAATTAAATAATAAACCATTATACTTCCTCAACAATGACAATAAATCTACTACTTAATATTGATAGTGAGGTAGTAGTCAATATGGAGGTAATGTAAGAAATAATAATAACAATAATAACTTCACTTTTATTTACCAATTAAGCAATTCATAAGGTAAAGTAAAGAGAAAGGGAAGAAGTTGAAGAATACAAATGATTCAGCTAAATAAACAAAAATAAAAACGGCAATACAATCATCAAAAATAAACACGCTTATGATGATGAGATAGAATACACTAAACTTTAGTTGATGATACCACCACCTACTGTGAATTCACATGGAATTAAAACTGAGTGAAAGAAACAAGTGACATAAGACCTTGAGTTCAGGATAATTACGATCGACTTTTTTGAAGAGAGTAAAGACAGTTAATATGTGTTCTGTCTCACTCTCTGAAGAATTCCCCCAAGATAACCAAAATGAGATCCCCTGGACTAAAGTGTCCAAGATTTCATGAGTTTATAACCATTTTACGGTTAGGTAGGGCTACAGAAAAGCGTATGGCAATGAAATCTTCATCTTCCAATAGGTTCTGAAGCGCAGAAATAATCTTATTGTCCGATATTTGTCGCATTTTCTAACCTGAAAGTAACAACACTCGATCTTTTCTGAAAACACGTGTTTTCAAAATATCTACCTGTGCAAAGAATTAAGATTACACATACTACACAAATCACAGGAGCTCTAGTTAAATTCCCACAGGTGAACTACTGTATGAATCAACGAATGAAATTTGTCTTGGATACTGAAGGAGATGGCTTCATTTGATTTTGATCTGTCAGGAACTTTCTTGATACTACGGAGAAAGCCAGCTAAGTTAAAATGATCAGAGGATATATTCTACTTAGGAGAGGACACTAACAGAAAGAAACCACTACAGCTGGCGATAAAATAGCAACAATCAAATTTCAAATATTGGGGAGTACTAAACAACAGCTAAGATTAAACTATGTTTAACAATCGTTTTGCCTGCATCAAGTTTAGAATGGTGCTATAAGACTAGGTTACACTATCTACAAAATCAAGGATGAAATAGTAGCGATTGTTAACCATTTACTTAACTGAAAAATTATACCATCCCTAAAAAAACTGCTCACTATGTGTACATCGAAATTTAACGCACGATAGCACCTACTACTGATTGGCAGGCATGAGTAGTTGGATACCCATTACATCAGCCAGTAGTGCTTGTTAGTCAGATAGAAGTGATCTAAACACTAGACAAACTTTTCCCTTATTCTGAGCTGAGATTATCAGTATTACACCCGGTTTGACCAACCTCAAGGAGTTCAATTAGTTCACACCATACGAATTCAAGGTAGCTGTTTGGGCGTATTTGTCAACTTGAGTCACTTTCGCAAAACATCTGACCAACCATTAAAAAGAGCGAGTATATTCTACAGGAATGTGCCATATATTCACTCTCTACCATTAACGAAGTTCTAGGAATTTCACTCATATGCTTTACTGAGTTATTTTATCAAATAGTTATATTCACCTATTATGGTATACTTCTGTTTATATCCTTTAATGCATGCTATTTCAAAGTGTAGCACAGTAAATCGATGGCTTTCTGAATGCAATTATACTGGGTAGACTTAACGTATAAAGTTTACGTTGACTGACACTGAAGTTGATTAGCCAGCTAGTTAATTTGAAATGAGTTGCTTGGAACAGAATGTACATGTACCATGTTTTATACACCGCATTTGTTGTGTGATGACACTACCCATAATTTTAGGATACATTCTGTGGAGTAGGATTCAAGTCCAGAACTGATTGCGTGAACACCAAGCGTCGTTCAGTTGCTTGATAACACGTCATGCGCGGACTAAATTTCATCACTATACATCATCACCGAACACAGCCCGAAACGGCAGTCAGCTCTTTGCTTTGACTTTATCGACTTCGATGAAGTCAACTACGAAGCAACTTGATATCTGCTTTAACGCTACGGAGTGCAGTATTGCAGGCTATTTGATGAAGCCACACGTCAAATAAAGATAGCTCACCGAGGCGTATGAATTGAAAGCAAGAGTAAGACAAGAAGGTCTACTGTTTCCTTTGATATTCCTGATTATGGCAGACTGGATCAGTGGGTGGTGAGTGCTAAGATGGGCATACGCTGGACTCACTAGAAGACCTGGATTTCTTTGATGATTTACGTCTCAATTCGCACTAATTCGAAGATATGCAGGCGAAAATCAACAAGCTGGTGTGGAAAATGGAGCGAAGGCAGTGGAGATAAAGGTTCCCAACCACCGGCCAACACAGAAATTTGGGAATCATTCTTTCCACTTACCTGGACAAGTAACATGGCTTCAACCGCAGGCGACACGGATGAGGATGCTAAGGTCAGGAATGGATAGAGAAATCAGCACAGCACTCAGCGCAATGAACAACATCCGAACTTTTAACACGAATTTTAAGTCAATGCTTCTATATGGTTCAGCGTGTGTCACTAGTAGCATTCTCAACAGGTTTCAGACTTTCATCAACACCCGCCTTTCTACTGATCTCTTTCAGTTAAGCGTACTGCTCAAACGAAGATAACGCAATAGAAACACCCAGATGAATAAAATTGAAATGTTAGTCAACATCCACACGCATTTACGAATTTGGTAATGAGTCCGGCCTATTGTATTAAGACTAATCATACTACCTGGTGATCAAACCTTAGCAGATGGAGAGGAATTCCAACCTAAGACCCACTGGTCAAAAGTCGTGGGCCGAAACAAGTGAGCTGCAGTTGGCTCGGACATAACGACTATCAGGTAATAAAGAATGCTACATACGGTGCCAGATAATATTTCTTCACATCACTAATCGAAATCCGAAGTAACTAGCGCTTGAGCTAACAAAATTCCGTAAGAAATTTAATGAGAAAAAAAAAGAGGAGAAAAGGATAAAATTAGAAGCCACAAAACGAATGGAATGATGACAGATGCTACCATGTTTTAAATAAGGAGCATGAATATGGTCTCGCACGCTGTTTTATATTGCTTGAGATAGGAAAAGGCTAAAATAACGTAAATAGTGGTTAAACCAAGGCGTTATATCAGACATGAAATCAGTATTTCACTAATCAGATTAATCTGGACTGCTGCACTAAATAATTCCCAGTCTTCTAGTCTAGTAATCTGTCTGTTATTCGAGTGATTATTATTATGTATTAAAGCATTTGTGGAGGTACAGAGACAATTTGCTAATTGGTGAGTCTATGAGTCTATGAGTCAGGAGAAATCACAAGTTAGTTACTTTCTGCCTTGTCCCGCTCAGTCTGTTTAAGCCAGAGCGACTAGATGATATCACCACTCCTTGCACCATAAGGGTGGCTTATAGAGTATTAGATGAGAATGTATATAAATGAAGGAAAAAGTTGTGTGAGTAACTTGATATGATTATGAGCAATAGTTTATGCTCGAAAGTCATCAGTTAATATTACTGTACAACACTGTGATTTATCAAAATAAAATCTTATCCATAATGGAGTTATGCTCTACCACAGTGCCCAAGTTTTATACTTATATTAGATGAGAAATCAGATAATTAAGTTCGAAGTAATTACTTTAAACGCCCACGTAAACAATCAACGGCTGTTTGGTATAGAGCATATAGACAATTATAGAGTGTGGCCAGGGTTCATGTGAAACAATTCCGGAGTCCTCATATGCACTGCGTATCAATTATCCACTGTCATCTTTATTTTATTGTTAAATCTCTATATGCTTCGATTTCTCCTTTTATTAAGTTATTCTATTGCCTTTGATAGCATAGTTCCCACTACTTCATCTCCGTTTCCTTCTACTAGATTTGCAGCTATAGCGCGATAACTAGGAGCACAACGAAACGTATTTAGGTTGTCTGCAGCTTAAACACTGCTATGGACAATGAGTCATACCAAATACAATAAAATGTAATTTTCAAGGAAACAAGATTATGTAGACAGTGACAAACACTACCAATAAAAAACCCAACACTGTCTTGTAACAACGACACGTCTCACATTTAAATAATATGCAGAGTACTTAGTACAATGGTAGCATGATTTGTACTGCTAAATCTAAAACTTTATCAAAGACTTAAATGTGGGTGAATAATTCTGTGTGCTTTGCAATATACTTAGTTCTCAGCCAACGATAAACTCATGACAGGATAGTTGGATTTCGTCAGGATTTGATGAGTAAGTACCTCACAATCTTACGCAATCACGTAGACTTATGGCGTCTATAGATATTTTTTTAAAATTTCTCTGTTCTCCTTAGATGAAGAGTAGTTCGGTTGACTATTCTCAACCAAAGACTTAAACTACAGCCAAAGCAAATTAGTGGAAAGGCAACGATGACGTTCCGTGTGATAATTTTCGATCATCTGATATGATGACATCAAGTTTTCTCTGATAATGTTAAGACCGGTTATTTATACATGCTACTGGAAAGTAATTTATAACTAGAATGTTGCTGTAGTTGTATAACACTCCACCTTTTAAGTGGTAAGTAATAATGTCTGCAAAGGAATATATGAACAAAAGGCGGAAAAAAACGTACTTTAATCATCTGATCACTACTGCAAGTTGCCATACGTCGACCATAGAAGTCATAAGCGATATCATGAATAAGATCAGCGTGATTAGCATAGACGCTTCTCGATACAAACATTTTCTCTGCAAAATTAAAATAAGGAGAAACCTGAGCAGATACGAAGAAAAACTAGAAAAATGGAGCTACAAAAAATCAAGCCAAAATCTTCTATGTAATTTATTTTCTATTCCTAAAATGATGCTGTATGTAAACCTCGACATTAAAGGTAACCTAATTACTGATACCCTAAAGGGAAGGACCTCAAATTCCACAAAAAGGGTATATTTGGCAGCAATACTGAGTAAAGTATTCTTAAGTTAACCGCTGTTTAGAATAACCTGAAAGATTTTGCATTCGACACCCATGTATATATACCAGCCCATCCCCGCGTGCGGAGTTAGACACAGATTTTTTGACGCGCATTTTGTCTTTAAAAAAAAGTTTAAGAATCTCACCCTAAATGGTCATTAAGGGATGGAAGTGATCAACCTTATTGATTTCGTTATATATTGATTAACACTCACCCTTCTTTATTATGCTTGTTATTATATCTTTTAAAGCAGAAATTATTTGACATATTCATGGAGTACAGATGTATATAATTGGGAATGTACAGCCGTAGCAAATAAAATTCGCCGACGGTCTCCACCGAATGACTTTTGTTTTATTAAATTCTCCAATATGGTCATTCCATGAACAGCCTGACTAGTAGACTATACTATACCAATACACTAATAATGTACTAAGATTCTATGGGTTACAATTAAAAGACAAAAGTTAGGATTCCAGGAAAAAAGTAGAGTAAGTTAATCACGGATTGATATCAGTTAGAGAACCATTGAAAACCAGGGAGTACTGGACATAACTAACCCTTACAAACCAAACCATAGAGTAAGTTAAATCCGCCATCTAAAAATCCTACAGCCCAAGGTGAAAATTCACCACGGTTTCTTTTGGAAGCCGCAAAATATTCGCATAACAATGTAATCTACTTGATATAATAAACGGCAAACAAAGAAACAAGCAATACAACATGATAGTAATCACTGCTACAAAACAACTCAGGTTCAATAATAGTGCTTGCTACCAAATAGAAGGTCACTTCTCTGGTTCGGGGCTGAAGTCATCAGTAGTTCGTCCAGTCGGCTAGAATTAGAGTGCTCTGAACTGATTCAACTCTGGCTTGTCTAAAAGGGTACTACACTGATGATCGCAACCACAAACGAGGGAGGTGACCTTCCAAAGCTTAGATCACTTCTATCTGGTCAACAATTACTGCTATTTGACTTGTGGTTTCCAACTAATATTAAACATTATATTGCTAAACTCAAGAAAACCAGAAAGATCTCAGACTCGGATGAGGATTCGTAGATCAAAACTTCATTTTTTGACAAATTCCGGGACACAGAAATATTTGTCAGCGTTTAAAAATTGTCAATTTTTTTACCTGAAAACAAAGTTTTATGTTAGCGTTTAACTGTAAAGGGAGTACTAAAGAAGCATATGCTAATCAAGGTACTCTAGTCGAGATTATGTAGATGAGTAAAAAGCTCATGTAGAGTTGTCACCCTTAAACTGCATTCTCATACAATTCTATTTTGAAAGTATTGATGGACGCAATTCTGGTTGAATTCGACATCTCAGGAATCAACTTGCTACTACAGACAGGTCTTGTTGATTTACAGTATGCGGATGATGTCGTTCAAAGTGAGAATGTTGACAGTGATCTTTTCTCAACACTGATAGAGAATTCAGTTATGTTCATCCTCTACTTGGGGTAGGATAATGATATGAGTCTGATCCGTATCGACTCCTAGGATAAGGAATGAAATAGATGAATGTATTGACCACTTTACTAGACTTAGACTTATTGTTGATAAAATCACAACATGGATAGAAAAAGTGCATTTGATTCTTGCTAACTTGCATCAGCTTTGGATTTATAGCCACTCATCATATCGCATGCTTCTTGCGCAGAAGCTTACTGTCTTTTCTTTCACTTGTGTAACATCGATACTTAAGACAGAAAACATGAAAATACTGATTTCAAACCACAGCTGACAAATTTAGGTTGCTCATAAGGAAAAAAGCAAGGCTAACCGATGGCGTGAACCTCCATCAAATGATGCTGCTAAATTATACACGCGTTTCTCAAGAGCAAATGTAAGCTGAGGTGGTATTAGTTTGAAAAAGTCGGGTAGGTTAGACGAAAACATAACATTAGTCCAAGAAACTAATAGTCCTTCCTTTCACCCACGTAAGGAAGTGTACACAACCCAACTGAAAAACAAGGTGCTGAGAATTAATGGCTCTTTGGCTCGATGATATGGATCGCAGTCATTCCCAATAGCACACCTGTATTCACTCCTTCTTATCTACCGGAACCTAGAAACTCACTTAAATATTCTTTCTGTCACGTATTTATTCATCACAATAGTCTCAAATCATTTCTCTTTGATTAGGTATACTTCATCGAAGTGCAGTGAATTAAACTGACGCACATTTCTGCAGTTGTACTTTGCTTTGTCAGTTGTGCAGACGAACAGTCTTCAACAAACTTTGTAATGCTTACCGGTGTAATTTGAGTAATTGCCAAAGTAGTCTTCAATGCTAGAGCTCCTTGTTTTAAACTATATTGATTCGTAGTATGCTTTCCATTTCACAGAATGGAGATCTAAAGGAAAGGCCAAGTTTTGACGCCCGTAAGGTCCTACTTAGGCGTACTTTTGCCTGGGTCATTTTTAAGAGTCTAGTCAGGAAACTGATTACAGTCATAGGTAGCCACAAAATATTGAAAATTTGGGAGAAAAGCATCACTATGATAACCTATTAAAAGAGCCAACGTAATCCGAATAATAACCAGTAATGTATTATTGTTATTAGCTGCGTCGCAAATACTCGCTGTTGTCATACTTTCCTAAAACGCGAGGGTTTTGTTAAGATTGTGAATGTATTGGTTAAATGTTCACCCTCTGTCAGTTACTTGAACACAGATACATCATGGGCCAATAGTGTTTGTATTTCATAGTATTAGGTAGACCTCTGATTCCCCGAATGAAACCATATTTCGGAATTATGTTGCAGGAATGTTTGTGGGAGATTTATCAACATTTTGCGAGTCCGTACAAAAGTACTATTTTAAAGCAATATTGAGATAAGACAAGGTTGATGTCGTTGATTTACTGCTTTGGGAAGACAAGGTGACTTGAAGAAACCGTCTTACTATGAACATCCGGGCCAACTAAAATCACGGTTGACCAATAAATGGCCATTTTCAATACATTAAGCTTTAAATTTCACGGGTTCATTGTTGTGCAAGGTAAGCAAGAACATGTGTTTACACATAAACTTAATTTAACTGTTTGAAATGGTTAGCTGTATGAGTGCTGGTGGTATATCTGATGAAATGCCTGAACGTATGCCGGGAGGCAGATAAGCACATATTAATCCACATCCTTGCTGACACCAAAGTTATGTTAAGGTCTGAGTTGGAGTCGCTTCAGTACTGATGCATTTGTGATTGCTAGCGTATGCTACAGGCAGTTCGAAACTAATACTTAAATAAGAATCAGTGTGTTTTTGCGAAACATCGTAGCTAATTAGTGACACCATTTTCCACTACTTAGACTAATGTCCGCAGAAAGAAAACTGATAACCTTAAGTAGGAATCGAGTGACGGATGAAATAGCAAATGAAAAAGGAAACATACTGGCAGTATTAAATAATTCCCTTTTGTAAAGGAATGTTGAGAATGCTGACATTTAACACCAGCGACATAAATCTTCAGATTTCCTGTAATCACGTTGATGCCCGCAATTTTATTCTTAAGAGTAATTTTTCAAACATTTGTTAAAGACTGAATTACTCTGAATGAACCACGAATTTAAGTGGTCATAGATTGAAAGAGGAATACTTTTACATATAAAAGATTAGTTAATTTGAAGTAGAAGTTCCTTTGTACGCTAGTAAAACTATAAGACTGTAACATAACCGCTAAAGATAATGCTAAGAAGCATTTACAAAGTTGTTACGACCATAAAATTTGGCCTCACATTGAATAATCATTTTAAGAACTAACTAACAATTTCGAAACATCTAACATCTGTTACCATTATAAAAACACAAACCTTATAAGAAAGCACGAGTAGCGCAAATCTTTAAGTTACGCTCTTCGCAAACATTCCAATCTGCGCACCGGATTTTCAGGCTGGATTTATATATCACATTCTGTTGAAATTTGGCTTGGAAATTTTTTGTCAATAATTTCATATAAAATTGTGTTATATGTTATCTGCACTTATGGAAATTCACATTTCCTGGCTAGGTATGTTGGTGTCCGTTGAGCAGTGCAATATGGGTTATGTGAATTCAATGCATAAAAATATCTCAACTTTATTATTATTGTGCCATTGTCTGCTTAGCTTACTGATAAGCTAAAGTGTAGGTGCAGTGCACTGGAAAAAGCAATCACTCGTTTAAATTTCCTCACTGTCACTTAGCGCATTAATTCAGTGTATAGTATTATTATACACATGGATTGTGTTGATCACAAGAACAGAATCCAGTTAGCTCTAATAATGTTATTCTATTGTATGTCATACAATTTCCACTGACAGTGTGTACTTAATGCTGCAGTGTTTTAGCGGTCTGATAAACCTTGGGCTACCAAAGTTTTCCGTCACTTATATTGCATCTGATTACTTGGATTTATTTTGTTTGAATTATTCAGTTATGTGTCCAAATCGTGTTACTTACTCTCGCTATTATTTAAAATGTTTTCAACCGGATGATTTACGAGTTTATAATAACCTTAAGAAAAAGCATCATGGCGGGTGGCGAAGATCCTTAAAGTGTACTCCAATGCATCAGATGACTGTTCCTGTGATTATGATCACAAATTGCACGTCATTATCGAACAAGATTAATTACTTGGATGCTCTATTATGTTCAAATACTTACCGTAATACAGGTGTAATAATGCTTCAAGAAACTTGGCTACACAACTCATATGATGACAATTTAATCTTACTGAATGGTTTCAATACGTACAGACAAGACCGAAGTAGTTCAAGGAAGAAGCGAGGTGGTGTTGCTACTTTTATCAATTCTCAGTGGTCTGTTGCCAACATCGTCTGTTTTAAATTCTCAAATGATAATATTGACTGTATAAGTGTCAAATGTCGACCTAAACACCTGTCTAAGTACAAATCATTTATGTCACGAACATTTGTGTCACACCTGGTTGTAGCACTTCAGAACTATCTATGCTTGCTGATGAACTCACTATTTTCGCTGCCGCCTCACTGGAAACTCATTGTCCATACTGACACGTGATTTCACTTCTTGTGATTGCAGCTTTCTTACAGTGCTAGGTCATGAAAATGTTGTGAACTTTGTCACCAGACTGGATAATTCTCTTGACCTTGTATTTATAAATGACTGCGGAATATACGAAGCTCGTAAAAGAGCCCTACTGTTTAACTCAGATCATTGTATTGTACGCGTTTTGCCTAAAAATTGTGGAAAGGTACACAAGAGAACTTTTTCACACCCTTCCAAGAGAACTGTACATGGATATTACTCTATGGAGAATGTTAAGAATCTCAGAGGCATGTTCAAAGGCGTAAGGTGGGACCTATTTAATGAAGACTCTCTTGATGACACAACTCTACTATTACATGTTATCTCAAATTTTGTCTTGACACCTGTTGTCCCAGAGAAACGCTCTTCATCAGATCTGACAATTTCTCCTCCCCTCAACTTAAAAAGGTTCGCAGACAAAAAGAAAAGTTATATAAAATGAAGGATAATACTGGTTTGAAAAGAATTAACATCCTAATAAATTCTGAGATGCTCAGGTTGAATTCAATTTACAACGAAAAGTTTATATCCTGTAAAAATGCTTCTAATACATGGAAACTTTTCAAAGAAATTACTGGTGGTAAGCAGATGAACAGTATTCCTCATTCACTTGATGTTTGCACACTAAACAAGTCTTTCATACATTCTCCCACAAATACCAAACCTTCTAGTGTTACAAGTGTTAATGAAACCTGCTTCCCTGGTTTTAATACAAATGATGTTCTAAAATGTCTCCAGTCTCTGAACCGTTCTTGTAGCCTGGGTCAAGACAGTTTGCCTAGTGTCATTCTTAAAAAGTGTGCAGATATCCTGTGTTATCCTCTCATGCACATATTTAACGAGTCTTTTTCCAAAAATGTCGTGCCAGCCGTTCGGAAGGACATTAAAATTGTACCTATACCTAAGCCGTCTACTGCAAGATGTTTCAAATTGAGACCCATTGCTATTGCTTCAACTTTTCTAAAAGCTATGGAAAAGTTGCTCTTACTTAATCTTCAACCTTCACCTAAAGCCTTTAACGATCCCAAACAATTCGCCTACAAACACAGTAGAAGTACTTTGGACGCAGTTGTAGTCTTGTATCATAACATTGTCTCCAGCTTAGACACACGGGCTAAATTTGTTCGCTGCACCTTTCTAGATTATACATCTGCTTTCGACTCAGTAACTAGGGACATTTTGTTAAACAAGCTTGCTGAAACTCAAACTGACTGTTGGGTTGTCAAATGGTGCATTCTTATTTCTCAGGAAGAAAGCAGTACACTGTATGTCAGGGAAAGTCGTCCACTTCGTTGCTTACTGAGGCTGGTGTCCTTCAAGGCGCTGTCCTTTCTCCTTTTCTGTTTTCTTTCTTCTTGCATGACTTACCTCAGAGAGAGGGGGAGATTGACAACAGAAGCTTTGTTTATTGAATCAACTACAAATACATGTAATAGGAATGATTCATCACCTGTCCCCGATATCTGGAAAATTCTACTACCCATACGACAAATAGGAGAAAACAAAGAAAACTATAAAACTCAAGTGTCGAAGTCGTGTGATCACAATTTGATATGATTATGAACAATAAAATTGTTCGAAACGTCATCCAGTAAATAATACTATTTCACTGTGTGATATACCTAATAAACAAACTCATATGGAATTACTTACTACCACAGTGACCAAGTTTTACACATATATGACTTAACTCACTCTGATGAAATGAACTTTGTTAAGTATGCCAATGATCTAACTATTTCAATGTCTGTTAACTCCCAGCCAGACTGTACTAAGATGAACAGCTTCTCCTATCAGGAATTAGCAGATGGTCTTCGTCTAACGGCCTTAAACTAATTCCTTCCAAATGTCAGACTGTTAATTTCAGTTTCCGATGTGAACGGAAGTTAAATGAAGCCGCTGGTTCCTATGACCTTTGCAAAATTGATGATACTGATATAGGAGCACTCAGGCATAACCCAACCACTCCTCTTACAGTTTGTCAACTCGTGCGTCGGTGGCACAGTGGTTAGGACTCTCGCCGACCATGCACATGGTCCGGAGTTCGATCCCCTGCCGGCGCACACCCGATATATATGGTATGCCTGAATTTGAGCAACCGACATCCATGCTGAAAATTCCATACTTGTACTGAAAATACGGTGTGGAATCAAGCTGTAAATCAAAAAATAGTTTTACCTATTCTTCTTTACTGTTCACCCTTATTCTTTCCTGGATTGCTTAAAAAAGACTATGTCATACTTCGTAGAACTCTGAGGACTGTCAGTAGGACCAGTGGTATCCCATTGGGCCATATCGTTGACATTGATGTCATGCAACAAATTTGCTAAAGGAATTTTGTCAGACTGTGAGCACCCACTCTACCCACAGTTCCAACCTTGTGTCTCCTCAGGTAAAACAAGAAATTTTTTCAGAAGACTTTATGCACGTACGTCTAAGTATAAAAATTCCAGTATACCATATTTAGAACGAACTTTATGTGATGAAAATAGTGTCAGGCATGAACTAATTAACGTTCTTGGCACCACTAAATGAACCATTTCCTCCACCCTTACAGCATCAAAATTTATTGTTATTGTATATCTCATATTTGTAATCCTCTCAATTTTTTTGTTTATTATTCTAATAAGTGTGAACATCATTTAAGCTGTGTTATGACCATTAATTTTGTATTTCCCCTCACTATACTATGTCAACAGAACGTTAGATCCATTAATCTATAACATGCTAAAGTTTCCAAACTGAATCGACAATACCGTTTGAAACAAACTACTGTTATTATGATTATTCTTATGTTTAACATTCTCAATTCGTGCTTCGAATATTTTTGACTTTATATCGTAAATGTGGACAAATTCTTCCGGTCATTTTTTTAAATTTTAAATTTAATTTATATTTTGAGTAAATCAGATGCAATATTGTGACAAATGCTGAGAATTCCATTCTGTATTATAAGTACTGTTTTTGGAATAAAGTAGATTATTATTATTACTATTTGATCACCAATAGTAGGGATGAATATCTCCTGAGATTTCCATTTACACAAGGCAGTACAGATGAGGTATCACGACTGAAAGATTAGGTTGCGTTATATGGCATTATTATCCTCATCAACACAACAGGGCTGTGTATCTTACAATATTTTTAGGATTTCTCTATTGTGTTAACACTACGCATAACTGTTTAGAGTTGAGACGTGTGTACTTTAAATTTGATGGCCATAGTTTGCTGAATTTGAGAATGTAATTTCTGTAGGATTCATAAAGCTATGCTCACTAGACGTGACTGAGATTTCGGACCAATTTCTATGTTACACATTTGCAATACGTCATTCATTGTGAACGTATTTAGTGGGGCAATTATATGGCATATCCCCTATTTGAAGTGGCGCCTCCAGCTCAACCTGGACGGCGTTTGCGTGGTTTAGTTGACTCGAGTTGGAGCTATTCGTCCAGGCAAACGCAGTTGACTTGGTTTCGGTGCTTATTTTGCTCTTTTTGGATGAATTTATATGAAAATTGTTGTTCGATATTGTTCTTGAGCATTTACGTATTGTTTGTGTAGCAGAGCGCTTAAATATACGGTTCATGCAATGTTTATTTGGCATACCTAGTAAGCTTCGCGTACATTCCGACGACTGTCTTTCGATAAATTTCTTTGCAGCTTGGCGGCAACCTGTACTCGATCGTAAATTTCCCTATCAGCTGTTGTGCAGTACATACTATTGTTGCAGGAACCGAAGGATGTGGTTGATATCGGATTAGTGCCATGCTTCTGCACTTTTGTGTGGCATTTTGATCGCTAAAAGTCAATGGAATGCATAC